ATTCATTTCATAACGAACCCGTACGCACGCAACAATATGATAACAGTATTATGGCTACAAAAAATAAGATAGTGCCGTTTGTGAATCAGGTATTCAAACTAAATAACAATACGAAACAATATCAAGAAGATTTCGTTTGTGGCCTCAAACTAGTCACCGTTGCTACTGCTTCGGCGTTACTGCCACTCATTCCACAAAGTTTCCGTTTCTGAATCTTCCCCATTGAACTCAATTGTGTTCTTCAATTATATCCAAAAGAAATAATATTATTTCTCACCATTCTCATGTTTTCAGGATAATTCTGATGTGCAGTAGCCCATGTTGAAACTATAACTTAGTTTTCCATACTCATAGTCATGTTAGCTGATGACATAAACACAGGAAGATGATACTTATTTGAATTGAAAAATATGAAGTCTCAGGTCTGATATGTCATTCAACATTTCTCTGAAAATTATATGGCAAAATAATGCACTTACTTCAATCGTGTAGTGATATTTCTCATCAAATCTGCTCTTCTATTAATGTTATAATTTATTTTAGCATAAAAAAGGCGCGATGGCTCATTCTCAGGCCATTACCACAATTTCTAAACATAATAATATGAGGGCCTCGAGAACAAACTAAACCACAAACGTTAAAGCAACTAATAATAAGCAACGTCACGTGGCATATTGCAGGAGTATGGATGAAGTTTATAGCTTCATTTTGTATCAGTTAACAATAATATTCTCGAACTCTCCCTGTATTCTCAAATAGACACAGGCCATTTTCACTGCAACAGCTAAAGAAAGTTTTATTTAACGTGCGAAAATATGGCTATGCAAAATTACTCGTGGTTTGCCGATTCTTGCTGCTTGTTCATCGAAACTTTGATTGAGAAGCTATCCAAACAAATACGAAGAAATAAAAGTTGCTCAAAATTATTAAAAAGTGGCTTTGCTTGCTCGTTCAGCTTATTCTAAAATATATCGTAAATTAAGACTATGAACTTTAAAGCCCAAACATTTTAATTTCAAAGTTTGAAAAATGAAGCTATGGGTGGCAACAATTTTAAAAGTGAGGTGGAATCTTCAATTTTGAAACTTTTATTTTAGAAAACAGATAAAATGTTATTTTTATATATTTAAAATTGTGAATTTTAAGATTCCAATAATACAACCCACACGGTTGTTATTCTGATATAATTTTATGATTAGCATTATGTGAACTCTTTTAATGTTAATTTTAAAATACTACGAGATAGATGAGTTTTAAAGCATGTATTGCCTATTTTAGTTGATCTTTGTTTTAGTCATTATTCCTGCCGTTAGTAGTGGCATTAGCATACAAGGTTAATATGATTCAGAAAGGCGAATAGAAAACAATGATGAAACGAAAAGAAACTGTTTCGTAGACTGCTAGCTGCAGCTGGTGGTATTCCAAAAATAATAATTACTTTATTATTTAGTAAAAATAACCATTCGAAAGAGCTTCAATAACTTCAATAATACTTTTTATTTTAAGTGTCTTGATTCTCTTGTTTTTTTTCGGGGGGGGAAGGGGCATTTTGAACCATTAAAAATTTATTGTTACCTCGACATCATATCAGATCACCAAAAACATTAAAAAAAAAAAAGAAATTACTACAGACGTACTCAAGTGATCAATGTTTACAAGTAATAATTTCGAAAATGAGAATTATCAAAAACAGTCTCAGAAAGATGAATTAGCAATCCAAAAATTTTGTCTTCCTTTTACGATCCACGGGTTAAAAAGAACGTAGAGCAGTCAACAAGAGTTAACATGAATAATAACTCATGAAACAAAAAGGATTCGAGACAGATCATTAGGGACTAAAAACAAGGGTTGAACTTTCGACAGGACACAAGTACGTTGGTTGGTCATTTTAATTTAAAACGTATTTAGATTCGTTAGAGAACGTTAGTCTTACTAGTCAGTACAATTCAACTAAAATATGCCAGCTTGTCATAAAATTAGGTAACAGTATTTTCTTTATATTTATAAGTGTTTTACCTACTCATTATGTTTTACATTTCATTTTTTCAAAAAGAGAAACTATTTAATTAAAACATTGTAAATATATTTCAGTGACTTACGGTGTAATTGTCTTTTCTCCACGAATGAAAAGAGTATCAATAGTACATATATGAGCTTTACTCAGATCCAAATGGCATGTCTTTTCTTCGATCACCTTTTCAATCACTTCCAAATTGACTTGAAACTCAAATTTTCCATCGCTATTCTTTTTAACGGGTAATACAAGAGGCACGCGAGAAAATTCATTTGACATCTAGATTAAAAAAGAAGGAATTATATTATGCAGTTTTATTTATTATATTAGAAAATTTAAATCACTAATTTATAATTTATGAAATACAACTAAACTATGAAAAATTCAGGTGAAGATAAATGGAAGTATATTGAATTGTACTCCAATCTGTAACGGTTATAATTATAAATATGAAAAAATATAAATTTTATCCGAAATTTAAATTACCTAAATCCATTATTAACTTTAGATACGTCTCAATTATGATTCTGTTAATTCAGTATTCTTGGGAGAAACTTAAACAGAGAAACGACAATTTCAAGATATTATCGCTTCATGAATTAATACTTCCTTTAAAAATTAGAGGTTCTGAACTTCTGTTTATTCAGCATTATTCGAAATGATATTTTCGAATTGCAACTTAATATTACTCCATTCGGGATATTTACTTCAAAGTCTAGGAATTGTCATTTCATGTAAATGTAATTCTACTTTCGAATCAATTTCGACTTTCGAATTCTCTTCCATACAAATTCGTGTACATTCACTTAAAACACATATCAGGATTTCAGTAATTCTTCAAAACTTCCTCCAAAACTGGATGGAATTTCACCCCCAAAACTGATGTTTCAGGAAAAATTTCGCATCCAAAACTGTTTTCTTCTATTTTCGCAAGTGCTTCAACGATCGCTGTGACATCTCTTTCCCCCATACTTTCGAAATCTTCAAATTTCTCATATCAGTTTGAAGATTTCGCCAGAATCGTCCCTAGATATTTTTTCACCTGAGGCAAAGTAGTAAATGTGCACCGTTTTATAGAATGGAAAGGTGTCCAGCCACTTGATTGAAGGGGTTGGGGTATATTTTATTTGCTGAAATTTCTTTCGCCTCTAGCAACAATAACTGGCAATGTTAAAAATATTTTTAATACTCTTCGAAATTCGTATATTAGTGAACTAAACTACAGTAGCTCACATTGTTTTTCGAGACCTGTAATTTTGAAATTTATTTGCATAGATCTTGCACTAAATTTTGAAACATACACTTTAAATGTTTTTATAACATATTATTTTTCCTCTAATTTAAACCTTGCTTAAATAGGAGTTTCTTTAAGATTGCTTGTTGTAAAATAATATCATCGAATATTACATATAATAAAATAATTTACTCAAAAAGTGATAATCAGTAACTTAGATAACAATTTGGATACTCCCAAATTTTTGTTGAAATGTTTGGTAAATAATATATCTATATGACGTAACAGCAAGGAAAAGACGGAGCACTGTTGATGCGTACTTAGATCCATATTGAAGAATTCTTATTGCGTAGTATGCTAATATGCTGAGTTCGTAATATCCAAGAAACTTAGCAGTCGAGGTGATTTTAAGTTCATTTTTATTTGCGATTGATTTTTGTGGCCACAATCACTTGGCACTCTAGTCGTGCCTTACGAACATGGGCCATTGGGAAGGATGCAACACAAGCAAGACACAAAGACATCCTAGCAGGAGAGGCGAAGCTGAATGCGTAGTATGCAAGATGGAAGCACACAAGAGAAAGGTTTTGGTTTAAAGTTTCAGTTCCCTAGTTATTACATCATCAGCGTGCGTTGCGCAGGCCATGCAAAATAGAATGATCTATAAATGACGCAATTCAGAGAAATTATTAGGATTTTTAAAACAGAGAGGAAGAATTAAAGAGTTTAGCGTTAATTAAAATTATAATTTTTATTTACATTTTTATCTTATATATATATATATACAGTGTCTCCCAAAAGTGTTTGCACATTTTATGTATTCGCAGAAAAAGCGCTGCAATCCGGAATTGAATTAGAATATAAAGACCAATATTTTTTTCATATCATCTCCATGCGATTTTGAGTAAAACCAAACTTTTTAATTTTTAATACTAACTTATTTTCTTTTCCAAAATTGAAAATGTAAGGAAGCATACATAGAACGCACCACAAAAGTCATCATACCTCGACAAATTTTAGTAAAATTTCATAAATAAAATTATTGTCTAACACTTTTTACTTCCTTGTACTAAGTAAAAAGGAAGTATTGTAATCGCAAAAAGTTTCAGGCAGCATATTTCAACGAAAATATCCATTTTGACCGCTATCGAATGAAATTTAACGATGTTTTTTTGCATACATTTTTTGCTTTAAAAAATGATTGAATTATGTTGTTTTTATCATCCGATTAAGGATTTTATGCCTTTAGTAAATCTGTGTGCAATATTTTTAGAATTATCAGCAATTTTAAAGTTGTTTAATTGCCGCTAAGCCTGTTTTTAATGGCGGCCATTGATGTTTACATTTGAAACAGAAGACTAGTGGATTTGTTGCCATCTAAAGAAACTAGCTTCGCAACAACAAAATAACGCATTCATTTATTATTGCAATTAAATCATGCTTAATTCTTTCTGGATTTTGTCGAGGAAATAGCGTTTGAAATTTACTTCGTAACTTTTAATATAGATATTTGAGTTTTTATGTATTTTTGCTTCTCGCGAAGTGAGACTGAATTAATTAAATGAGAATACACATCGTCTGTGAAAAACTGTTTCTTTTTTTGTTTGCTTAATTCTTTATACATAGTTCTAGCTTTATTATAGTATTTGAATAGAACATGTGGCAACGATTAGATAATTCTTTAAATGATATACATTTTGTGCATTCTGAGTTATAATATAACGAAATATAATTCTGTTAAGTAAACCTAGCGCCAGAGTGTCGCTATGTAAGAAGCGAATTTTAAAGATGCATTTATTCCTTGTGGTTTATGCGCTGTCGGCGAAGTAGGTTTAATCAATCTAATAAGTTTAAATAAAATGCAAGAAAAATGCGATAATTTAATATTCCGTAAAGGAAGTCATGTGTTGTACACATCAGATTTTTTTTTTTAGTTTTGGTGATGTTTAAAAACTTGTTTGGCTTTATTTTCGCTTGCTTACTTCGTTAACGCTTAAACATATAATTTTTCGCAGATTTTCTAACTATAAATCTCTGATCACTTTGAGTCACGTCAAGTTCTCTTTGCCGGAAAACCTCTTTTTACTCTATTTTGGATCCGTTTTTCTTCTTTAAAGCATATTATCACATACTCCATAGCAGAATGGGATAAATTTTGCACAGCAGAATGGGATAAATTTACCTATTTAGCGATATTCCAAATCGAATTTCCATCCTCCTGATAAAAAACGATCAATTTTCAGATGCTGTTCCTTGTTTCTTTAGGACTATGAGCTCTTTTTAAACATTAAATAGATTCATCTATCTATCAGTAGATATCTTAGATTAATTTAATCAAAGAATGAAACAGAATTAGCTTGAACCCACGTTAAAATATAGCTTTTCTTTTGGCAATGCTTGACGTAGTTTCTGTCACGAGAATGAAAGAATTGAATGAAGTCACATAACCTATACATTTCGCATTAACTAAAAACTTCAATTTAGCTTCGATTACAATTTTAAATTGCAATTTATTCACACTTTTTTTCCGACATAAGATTTCTTTTTTTGTATGCTTTTCTTCTAACAGACAGCACACCCTCAGTTAAAAGACGCAATTAGAAAACAATATTAATTTGACAAGTGCTACTATCTGTTGGGCAAATTAACAAATTATTCACGACTTATATTTATATCCTCGTTATCTTCTTACTAAGAATACTTACTAAGATCCTCGTCATCTTCATCTAAATTTACTGGTAAATAAACTCACACTTCTGTCAAATACGATACAATACATAATGACTGCAAGATATAAAATGAAATTCAAAATTCCGCAACAAGATTCAAAATACAAATTACCTGAAAGTCAACACTTCGCACATATAGTTCTCATAAAAACAGGATAACATATAAAAGATAATACTAAGCCTTAAAAAGGAACTATTTATAAAAATATTCAAATATACAGCAATCTAAGACCTTGTAAGGATCTTAAGTTTTACTAACGTTTATTTTATTTTAAATCTTTACTATCACTTGTTATTTTCTACTTCCGGCCAGAATTAAAAGCGCTAACTTATTTATGCAAAATTTGTCTGGCGAACGCCAAGTACTTAAGTTGTGGCTTTTTGCCAAGCGAGAGAGAGGAAGGAGTTAGTCGAAGCAGGCCGCTTGCCTTAGCAGTTTTACTCGGTTGCTGGTTGCCTTCCAGGCCAGAGGTTTAATCCTCGTGATAATTTTAAACGTATTGTAGTGTTAACAGTTCTCTGTACTACATACGGCTTCCTGTTAATATACGGCCAATCTTCCACGTTTATTATTCCAAAGTTAAGTTAGAGTTTAGTTAATATTTTTATATTCTTACGTTCAGACCACAAGTGGTTGGTCTCTGTATTCCGAAGTACGGAAATTATTGTAAAGAGTGAAAAATAAAGGGTTTCGTATACCCTTCCTGTGTATCTTGTCTACTTCCCACATTTATTGAACATAGCTTTAGTAAGCTCCCTGTTCCGAGTCAGGTTCTTGCATGTTCCCAAAGCAAGTAAGACGGAACATTGAACCTGATAGTGGCGCCCGACGAAGAAGAATAACCATGGCCGAGTTTCAAGAAGAACCTGTGCTGCCTGCAGAAGCGGCTCAGAATCCAGAAATGCCAGCTGCCGCCCTGGAAGGATTTGGTTACATCGTCCAGACCATGCGCGCGCATCGATGAAACCAGAAGCAACATTTAATGGAAACTCACCGGTAACCAGTTTTTTGGAAAAATTGGATGACCACTTCATGCTGTATCCCGTGCACGAGTTCCAAAAAGTCACCTTAGCTACCAGCGCTTTGAGGGGCCAAGCGCTTAATTGGTTCAAATGCATAGGCAGAAGTCTCTTGGGTCAAGCGGGAAGTCCCACCTATACTTACGAAAATTTCAAGACTGCCCTAGTAAAAGCCTTCCCTGTCGTAAGGGATCGTGCGAAATTAGAAACGGAACTTTTCAGCATATATCAGCAAAGAATCGAAAATCTTTCCACCTTTATTTTAAGAAAAATTCACGTCTTCAAACTCTTGTATG